GGGAGCGGGAGGGAGAAGAGAAGGAGGAGGAGGAGGAGGAGGAGGAGGAGGAGGAGGAGGAGGAGGAGGAGGAGCAGGAGGTCGGGGGCCGGATGCGGAGGAGGAGAGAGGAGGCCGAGGAGGAGGAGCGGCGCGGCGGGCGGACCCGTCAGGAGAGCACGGCTCCGCCCGCGGCCCTTTGGCAGGTGGGCACGCGAGGCAGGAGGAAGCAAGGACGCTCAAGCACGCAACCCTGGCAGTGGATCTGCGCCGCCCTGTCCAGCGGGCAGGTTTTTTGTTCCTCAGGATGTCCGCCATCACGTAGTGATCAAAGAGGCTGAGCTCAGCACTTGGGGAACAGGTCGCGATCGATCCTAGCAAGATACTCGCGCCTGGCCTTGGTGATTCAGGGGGGGCGACAAGGACTAGGAGGTGGACGAGGGAGGGGAGGAGGGGGGGGCGGTCTGAAGCAGGAACGCAACCTTGGCAGTGGATCTACGCCGCCCTGCCCGGCGGGCAGGTGGACGAGGGAGGGGGGGAGGAAGGGCGGTCTGGAGAAGGAGGGGCGGATGACGACCAGTGAGGAGAATCCGACTCTGCCTCGCTCTACCCTCTCCAAAGAGCGACGGCAAGCAGAAGCGCGCTTGCACGAGGGAGGCCCCCGCCTCTGCCCCCTCCTCCCGCTGCGGGGGCCCAAAGCAAGACTCTTCCCCTTCTCAGTGCGTGGGCGCTGCCCCTTCCACATCGGACTGCAGCGGTGCTGCTGGACATCCGACGAGAAGCCTCCATGGCAACTCCTAGCCAAGCAACGCAAATCTCTCGAAATGTGGGCCCCGCACCTCCCAAATCGGAGGCAAGAAGGCGACTCACCAGCTAAGAAAGGACACATTAAGAGCCTGTGCCCCCTAGGCTCTTGAACTAAACATGACAATGGACTGTTGCGGCCTGGGCGGGCGAACCTGCTCTTGCGAGCCCTTGTGCTGTCCGTGCACGGCCACGCCAGGCAGCGGGCACACATCCATCAGGCATGGGCGAGAAATGCATGTCCATCTTCCTCCCCGGGATGGGGACGACGACGACCACGAGGCTCTGGAGGAGGAGGAAGAGGAGGAGCAGGAGGAGGAGCAGGAGCAGGTGGGGATGGGGCGGCGGCTGCCGAGAGCACGGCGGCCTCCCCCTCGGCAGGCTGCGCCACTCTGGCTCGAGCAGCGGGCGCACCTCTCAGGACCTCAGCCCCGGGCCTCGGACCCCTCTCAAATGTTCGTGCTTGCTGGCGCGTGGAAGTGCCAGCTGGGGCCCGCACAGTGAAGGCCTTACCGATTTGCAGAAAGAAAACGGCCAACCATCTGGCTTCCCACTCAAAATCGTCCGCTGACACGGGGGCCCGGGCACCGCAGAGCCACGGCCGAGCTGTGACGGGCGTGGGTCTGTAGCAGGGTACCGTTGCAAAACGCCCCGCAGCAATCGGCGCGCGTCGTGCCGAGGCCTGCGATGATGCACTGGCCCATGCAGCAGAAGTGCCTCGCGAAATCGGGAGCCCGACCACAGGGAGAATGCGGCCTGGTGCAATCGAAGTCGCATCGTCAAGACTGGGGCGCGGTGGGGTCGTGATGACCTGCCACGGGTGCATCTTCACCAGCGGCCCTCGACCAGATCTAGAACTTGGCGTCGTGAGAGTGTGAGACTTGTCCAGCTGCCTGAGGACCATAATCGAATCGGAGGCGGGGCGCCCTCGCCTCTCTCCTTTTGCAGTTCTGGCGTGGGTAAAGAGTTCAGCACAGCGCGCTGCCCCCGCAAAGCGAATAAGCAGCACAAAAGGCGCGCGAACGCTGTGAGCAGCGGCCAACTGCGAGACAGGGAGAGCGACAGGGAGAGAGGACCAACAAAAAACATCGAGAGAGAGAGATAATGACAGAGAGAGGGACAGGACTATCATATCTGATATCTGGCGCCCCCCGCTCGCTGGGGGTGCGAAGGCGTGTGAGGTGTTTGGCGGTCCCCCTCCCCCTATCCCCCTTCCAAAGAGCTCGCGATCCTCCCGAGTAGGAGAATGTTTGAGGTACCGAATGAATTTTCCGACTGCCCATCGGGGCGTGGGGGGGTCGGGGAGTCGGGGAGTAGGCCAGTCGGGGAGTCGGGAAGTCGGGGAGTCGGGGAGTCCCCCTCCCAAGGAGCTCACAATCCCGCTTAATGGGGAAGCAGGACAAGGGGGGGGTCCCCACACAAGATCGTCAAGGCACCTCTGCGGTCCAGGGAACCTCCAAATCCATTGTCAGTGGCCTCCAGCATGCCCAAAATGCCGGTTGAAATGACCCCAGAAAAGACTCTGACGGATGGACTTCAGAAACACACACACACACACGATGGCCTCAAGACTTCCCCAAAGGCAGCACCCACGACGCACGACAAGGGCCTCAAGAGGACCTACAGCTCGCGACAGTCATTGACTTGCCCTCGCATGGCGTCTCAAGAAGACAATCATTGACTGGCCCCCGCTGATATTCATATACATAGATGTGGAGGGAAAGAGAGAGAGAGAGAGGAAAAAAAACTGACAGACAGAGGGAGAGAGAGAGGAAGAGAGAGAGAGAGAGAGGCAGAGACAGAGAGAGAGAGAGAGAAAGAGAAAGCAACACAACGAATACACGAGAAAGAGAGGCAGGGGCAGAGGCAGAGGCAGTGGCAGAAACAAACAGAGCGAGAGAGAGAGAAACAAAAAAAAACATATATGTTCGCATGTATCGCCTTTCTCCGTGTTCTCTAAAACCCAAGGTGGCCAGCGAGGACCCCACACACCGAACCAACACGGCCAAAGAGGCCACGAAGAGGTCCCAGAGACGGCCCAAGATGACACCGAGACGGCCCGAAAGACCCCCGAAACGGCCACAAAGGCGTTCAAGAGGGTCCCAAGAGGAGCCCAAGAGAGGCCAAAGAGGGGGGACTCGCGAAAGCCTAAATGGCCTCCCCCAAAAAATGCCCCCAATGATCCCAACATGCCCCCAAATGTCCCCCCAAAAAAACCCACAGGGACTCCAAAACACCATGAACATCCAAATGGCTCCCACAAGGCCGCACACACCGCGCAACAGTGCTGGAGGAGGAGGGGGACGAATCAGCAACAGGCACCCGTGGCGGGATAGGTTTTTTTTTATGGCGCCTCGTTTTTTTGATGGCAGCATCCAGCGGTCATAACAAGCCAAACGCGTGATATTTCATCTCAGCATGACGAAGGGGCACAAATTGTCCGCTCCCAGCTTGTTGCAGCACCGTCGTTTAGGAAATCCAGAGGTGCACGCGTTTGCTCCCTTCGACGTTGCTTCGAGCATCATGTCAAAATCGGTCCGAATTCAGTTTCTGGCAAGATAGCTGCGTACAAAGTTCAGCACAAGCGGGAGAGAAGGGTTTGCAGCAGCAACTCCCCACCTCCGCAGCCAGCTGCGTCAGAGGCCCCACAGAGAGCCGTGCTAGCAGCACGCATTTTGAACTGTACACGCGTTGAGTGAAGGATCAAGTGAAGGTAACGAGGACGAGGGGAAGGAGGACGAGGAGGAGGAGGAGGAGGAGTAGGAGGAGGGAGGAGGAGGAGGAGGAGGAGGAGGAGGAGAGGCGGCGGGAGAAGGGAGGAGAGGGAGGAGTGCACAATGCTGCTCAATGGGAAGCTCCCCTGGCCCCGCGGCCCACAGGGCCGCATCTCGCGGGCTTCGATCCACGCAGATCTCGCGTCGGATCGGAGCCCGCTCCTCTGTGATGCGTTTCCTTCCCGTGGAACCCCTCCTGGAGGGCGTTTGGTCCTGGCCAGCTCACGTGTAGCGTGACTCCATTCGTTTCCCAGGCGAGCTCGCCTCCCGCGCCCTGCATGCTCACGGCGCGTGGTTCGGTACCCTAAATTGTCCTGGGCCGCCGCCTCAACTGGGCGATCTCGAAACCCTGAACCCCAAAAAATTGTCATCTCTTGGGCGTCGTCTTTTTACTGCCGCCACCTTCCGCCGCCCCTCCGCCGGCTTCCGCTGGCGGAGGCGGCCTCGTTCTACTTCCGCCGACCTTCCGCCGCCCTGCCGCCGCCTTCCGCCGAGCGAAGAGATGAGACCACTCCTTCCATAGGAGAACAGAAAGTGGTATAAACATAAAAGCTCGGAGGTCCGCGCGGATTTCTCGGATCGACGCTGGACCCCCCTCCCTGGCGCGCGGAGCGCGCCAGGGGCGGCGCCGGAGGCGCCGCCGGGGGGCCCCAGCGCCGATCCGAGGAATCCGCGCGGACCTCCGAGCTTTTATGTCTGTGCCACTTCTTGCTCCCCCCATTCCATCCTCGAAGACCGGGCCCTCTTCGGAGCGCTGGCCCCCCGCTGGGCCCACCGACCGAGGACCGCGGGCATGGCGGCCGGCCTCCGCGCCTCGCGCCTCGCGCGGGCGACCTCGCAGCGGCGGGCCGCGGAGGGGACCGGGCGGGCAGACGGCCCCGGCATGGCGGCTCGTGCGCAGGGGCCGACCGCCCCGGCATGCCTGCAGCGTGAAGGCCAGTCCACCAGGAACCTTCCACAAGGAACCCAACCCTGAGACCCCAGGACGTGCATTGATGTTTGGCGTGGGGACGTCACGCTCTCCGTGGAGAAACCGTCGAGACCCAAGAAACCCAGGGCACCCTGGAGGCAAGCAGGACGTCTCTTGGCATGGGCCCCCACTGCAGGCCTACGAGGCAGTGTTCTTAGAACCAGAGAATGGTTGAAGGACAACAGCGATGCTCTCAGAGCATGAAGCCGAAGGATTAAACCAAGACGGCATCAACAAGAGAGGTTCCAAGGACATCTCGTGCAGACCACGACAGGGTTCTTGAAACAACCTTTGGTGGGCCCATAGGCAAGCCAGGACGCTGCGCCACTGCATGAGTGACGTCGGAAGTCCCAGGAGACGTTGGGCCATCGTCACAGTGCTGCTCATCCCCAGGGTGAACGCTCTCTCTCCCGCCAGGTGGCGCAGCAGAATTGCCTGCGCCACCGCCAGGGAGAGGGCGTCCCAAGTTCCCTCTTCGGCTCGGGTGGGAGGGTGCGGGGGCCCGGGCGGAGGCCGGCTCCGCCTTGCACCCGTCCAGGTAAACGATGCTTATGTGCGGAAGCGGGTTGTCGGACCTGCGGGCGAGCAACGCAGGATGCCTGCTCGCGACCGGCGCGACAACTCGTCCAGGGGTTCCCATCCTCCTTCGAAGGCCGCGTCGTGCTACTCGGGTCAACGCCGGCTGCACCAACAGAACTGGTCCGAGGAAAGCGTGTGGCACGGAGCCTGGGACGGCTAGGTAAACCCCTGGAGCGAACTGAGCGGGAGATGCGGCATGATAGCGTCGGACAGCCCCCCCCTCCTGAGGAGGAGGTGGAAGAGGAGGGAAGGGATAACAGGAAGAGGGGGGGGAGGAGGATGATGAGGATGAGAGCGTAGGGAGAGAGAGGGAAAAGGGTGAGGAAGAGCAGGAGGACATTCACCCGTCGAGCGCCCTCACCACTCCCTCCTCCCTCTCCCTCGCTGCTCACCTTTCGTCCCCCCTCCTCCCTCTGCCTCCTCCTCCCCCTCCTCACCCTCCTCCCCCTCCTCCTCCTCCTCCTCCTGCTCCTCCTTCTCCTCCTCCTGCTGCTGCTGATGCTCCTCCTCCTCCTCCTCCTCCTCCTCCTCCTCCTCCTCCTCCTCCTCCTCCTCCTCCTCCTCCTCCTCCTCTCCTCCTCCTCTGCTGCTTGCTGCTGCTGCTGATGCTCCAACTCCTCCCTTTTCCTCCTCCTCCTCCTCCTCCTCCTCCTCCTCCTCCTCCTCCTCCTCCTCCTCTCCTCCTCCTCCTCTCTCCTCCTCCTCCTCCTACTCCTCCTCCTCCTCCTCCTCCTCCTCCTCCTCCTCCTCCTCCTCCTCCTCCTCCTCCTCCTCCTCTTGCCCGACCTGTTCTGAAACGCACGCTGACCAGTTTCAGCTCCGTCGGGCCGTGGCCACAAGGGCCCCTGCAGGCCCACAAAGGGCAGGAGCCTCCCAAATTCACCCTTCCCGCACCACGGCACCGCCCCGCCACCGCGAACGCGCGTGCACCCGCCCCCGGTCGGCAACCCCCAAGAGTGACCCCAGGCATGAGCGGCCCTTGGCGTGCGGCTTCAGGTGGGGCGTGAGGGGGCCAAAGACCCGAGCGTACAAGCCGCTGCTGTCGCACCGCACTCACCCAACATCGTCCCCCGAACCCCTCCTGGGGCGTGCTCTGACCAGAACTTCAACCCGAATCCAGCCGTGGCGACGAGAAGCCCGCCCCCCCCCCCCCCCAGGCTGGAAGAGGCTCAACCCTCAAGCTCGAACCTCGATCGGGGGACCCCGGCGGACTCGCGCCCAGGGAACAGGTGGGCACGATGCCCAACAGCGAGCGTGGTCCGCCATTACCGACAGCGGCCGCCGTTCGGCAGATGACCTTCTGTCTCGAACGGACAACATCCGCGGCGACATCGACAGCGCGACCTGTTCAGAGTGGGCAGGAACGCCTGCTGGTGTTCGTCCACACTCTCCCTGAGGAGGGCCGACGAGTGATGAGAACAGCCCACAATCAGACCCGCATGGCGATGGAATGGGGCCGCAGAGGTATGTGTGTGTGAGGCAAGGGGTGAGTTGCCAGCCCGTAAGACAGGGGAGGACTCGGCACGCCAGATTGAAGACGAGGGCGCTTACGCGCGAGCTTACGCGGTCAACTTGCGCGCCAATGTCGGCGCAGACGGCCCCTTTTTTTGCCGGCGACCATTCGGAATCGACGACGCGCAAGTACCCCATCCGAACGTTTGAGTAGGGGATCGACTACAGAATTGACTCATCCCAGAATCGAATTGTTCGTCGAATCTACGAAACTACGCCGAGCGGATGTAGATCTACGAGTATTCCGCGCATTCTCGTAGATTCGACGAATATATCAATTCTGGGGTAAATCGATTCTGCAGTCGATCTCGCACTCGAAACGTTGCCTCCGACAGGCCTGTCTTTCCAGCGGCGAGAGTCCTGCTCAAGACAGACAAGAACTGCCGCTGGTGCTCGTCCCGACTCCCACCGCACCGAAGGCCAACCTGGGCCTGTCTGAAACTTCCTGGAGATCCAGGGGAGGTCCGGGAGGTCCTCTGATCCTCAGCAGACCTCCTCTTGTGCGCCCTTTATCCGCCACCGTGCCGCTGGGCACGGAGTGGGCGTGTCCTCAGGTCATTTGCCCAATCCGTTAATTAATGGGGCCCTGGGACACACAACAAAAATACACACAGGTAACAGAATTCCCCATATGTTCCTAGATTTTCTGTGTTTCTGCCTTCCCCCCACACTTCCCATGTTTTCCCATATTTCCTTGGGAATCGACGACTACTTGTGTCTGTGTGTTGTTTCCCCTCCTGACTTAAGCTGCAGTCCTCGATCCGACGGAGCCTTTACGGGCCCAGGCCCCACATTGCCAAAGCCTTCTTGGGCTTCTCGCGTGCCCGCTCTGGGGTTCCCTGCATCTTCTCGCAGGACTCTCTCGGGCCCAACACGGCCTCAGGACGTGCCAAGAGGGCCCCACGAGGCCCCCAGAAGACGGTCCAGGAGGGCCCCAAGTCGCCTAAGGAGCGCTCCAAGCCGCACAAGATGGCATCAAGAAGACCCAGGAGGGCTCCAAGACGCTCCAAGAGGCCTCCAAGAGGTCTCCCAAGGGGGCCCCAAGTGGTAAAAATCAGTGATTTCCCTAAGGTGTTCGAAGGATGTCGAAGGATCTGTGTGTTCTCGCCTTTTCGGATTTCCGACGCTCCAAGGCGGCACAAGAGGCCACCAAGACCACCCCAAGACGGCCCAAGAGGTCTCCAAGAGGGCCCCAAGACGGCCTAAGAGGGCCCCAAAACGGCCCCCAAAGGGAACACGAACAGAAATTCCGAGCCTGCCGCCCCAAGAGGCCCCCAGGAGGCCCCAAGAGGCGCCCAAGAGGCCTCAAGAGGCCCCACAGAGAACCCCAAGAGCCCCCAAGAGGCCCAAAAGATAACCAAAAGAGGGCCCAAGAGGTCCCAAAACGGCCCCCAAGAAGCTTCAAACCTGCCTCCAAGAGGTCCCCGAGAGGCCCTCCACGAGATCCCAACGAACATCCGTTAGGCTTCATACCCACAACCCAGGCACGATGCCGGATGGGCCGAAGGCCAAGAGATCCGCCGCCCACTGTTGATTTATCTCAGGGGTGCCTGGCGTGCTATATCCTACGGAATGGCTGTGGTTCTTTTCCACAAGAACTCTCCCTGGGGCTGCCTCCGGCCACACGAAGGCCCCGCCGCTACGCAACCAACGTCTCCAAGACGTCGATGGCCTCTAAGACGGCCAAGATGACCCAAGATGGCCTCCAGATTCGCCCAGGATGGTCCAAGATGGCCTCCAAGACGGTCCCAGACGATCCCGGATGCCTCCAAGTCCACCCGAGAAGCCACCGAGACGGCCAAACATGGCACCAAGAGGCCCCCAAGAGGCCTCCAAGACGGCCCAAGAGGCCTCCAAGAAGTCCTCCAGGAGGGCCCGAAGAGTCCCAAATCATTGGTGTTCTTAATGTGTTTGAAAGCCTTGGGCATTTCCTTCTTTTCGGCCTTCCGACAGCCCAAGACGGCCCAAGAGGCCCTCAAGATCGCCCCAAGATGGCCCCAAAAGCCTCCAAGATGACCTCATGAGAGCCCAAGAAGCCTCCAAGACGGGCCAAGAGGCCTCCAAGCCTCTCACGATGGTCTCAGAGACGGCCCCAAATAGTCCCAAATGGCGTCCTAGACGGCCCAAGAGGGTACAAGATGCGTCCAAGTCCGCCCAAGAAGTCTCCGAGACGGCCCCAGACGGCCCAAGAGGCCCCCAAGAGGCCTTCAAGACGGCTCAAGAGGCCTCCAAGTCCTCCAGGAGGGCTGGACGAGGTCAAAATCATTGATGACTCATGGGTGTTGGAAGGATGTTGCCCCTTGTTTCGTTTCGGCCTTCCACGGGCCCAAGACAGCCAGGAGCCCCCCAAGATCGCCCCAAGATGGCCCCAAAGGTGCCCCCGTGACGCCCCAAGAACGCTCCAAGACGGCCCCAAGAAAGCGCCAAAACGGCCCCAGAGGCCTCGAAGATGCCAAAGATGGCCCCCTATTCTCTCCTCCACTTCTTCTTTCTCCCCCGCGTGTTCCCCGAAGGGTTTCCACAACGGCTGGGGAAACACATGGTCCGATAGCTTGGCAAAGCTCTGGCAACGACGTTCGCCCACATGGGCGGTTCCGAAAGGCAGAGGGCGTAGGTGATTCGCCGTGGGCGTCTTCGATGGAAGAAGACGAAGTAGAAGAAGTAGAAAAATTATAATAACCAGAAAAAAAAGACAAAGAAGAGGAAGAGCAACAAACAACCTGATGTTGCCACGAACCCCGACCTTGGAGGACAAGTGGGCGTGACTTGCGAGGAAGATAACAAAGAAGAGGATGTCTATACGGCGGATCAAGCTGATTCTGATGTTGTCCGTTTGACGCTGTGCCGCTTTGAGGCGCATTCTGCTGGCTCCTGCGTTGTCCGTTTGACGCCGTGCCACTTCGTCGGGGCGTCGCCGACCATCTTGGAGCCCTGTTGGGCAGTCCTCGGGCCCTGGGGCGTCTCCGGCCATCTCGGAACCCTCCACGGCAGTCTTGGGGTCCTCTTGGGGGCCTCCGGGGGCTTCCTGGAGATCTCTCAGAGGCTCCTTGGGGGCCTCTTGGGGGCCTTTTGGGGCCTCCTGGGGGGTTTCTTAAGCGGAGAGCCCAGAATGTCGGTCCCTGCCCCCTCTATGCAGCCCCTCTTGGGGCGTTCCTGGGGCCTTCGTAGGCCGCCTTGGAAACTGAAGTAGGCGCGCTGCTGTGAGGATCCGTTGTACGCATTCGGAGCGCAAGTCATTGCGGTACCCTTTGAAGGACACTCCGAAGGCGATACACCAGTCGTCGACGGTAATGGTGGTGAGGGCCTGACGCTGGGCTTTACGGGGTTTCCATGTCTGGAGACCTGTTGTCAGAGACGATTCCCAATCGCCGCCATGAGTCACAATCCAATCCGAAATGAAGGCTGGGGTGAGGGTGCGCGGCCAACGCGTCGGCGAAGGCATGTGCGCTCGGGGGATGGCGATGCAGGAACGTGGCCAAACGTG